ATAAAGACGCATATCCTTTTCGCTCGCCCTGTCGGCCTCCTCCTCCTCCCCTGGGGTCCGCCCCGGCTCCTCCCCGCCCCTCCCCTGCATGGCTGCACACTGCCGCGCCGATTAAGACAAGCCGCAGGGCCGAAGAGGACGAGGAGGGTCGACAGTGGTCGAGGAGGTTCGAGGGTCGAGGAGGCTCGAGGAGGCTCGAGGAGGCTCGAGGAGGCTCGAGGAGGCTCGAGGAGGCTCGAGGAGGCTCGAGGAGGGCCGAGGAGGGCCTAGGAGGGCCGAGGAGGAGGAGGAGGAGGAGGAGGAGGAGGAGGAGGAGGAGGAGGAGGAGGAGGAGGAGGAGGAGGAGGAGGGGGAGGGGCCGCGGGGCAGCCCGGGAGCGGCTGTCGGGGAGGCGCCCGCTCAGGCGCCGCCGACCCGGAAAGTGGCGTCGTGAGCCCTGGCGGCCTCCTTGGTGCGCAGGCGCTCTCCGAGCCGCTCCGGCTCCAGGGATGCGGCGCGCTGGCCGGGCAGCTGCGCGCAGCCGCCCCAGAGATTCCCGGCCGCCTGCACGAGCTGCTCCGCCCGTTCCCAGAGGTTCTCCGCGGGGGCCGCGGCCTTGCTGCCGACACCAAGGCCGGCACCTTTCGACCGCCTGCCTATCGACTGGATCAGCACCTCCACGTCGAAGCTGTCCGCCGCCCGATTGGGGCGGTAGAAGCCAAAGGAGCCCATCTGCACGACGCCGGGGATGCTCGCGCCCAGCTGGTCCAGAGAGCGGAACTTGCTGTCGAGCCTTTGCCCCAGCAAGAAGAATATGGCACAGTCGGAGAATGTGTTGCAGTTCTTCCGGAGGAGGTCGTAGGTCCCGCGCTTGAAGTACGGCCCCAGGGCCGTGGCCAGCTGCCGCGCGGTGCGCTCGGAGAAGCCCAGCTCGAAGACCCTCGGGCTTCCGCCCACAGCCGCGTGGCTCGCGGCCCCGGAGGCCATGGTGAGTCCTGGCATGGCCCCGAAGGAGAACTCCAGCCCCTCCACGAGCACCGAGGAGTGGTAGACCTGCGCCCCGGGCAGCCCGCCCAGGGCCGTCACGGCCAGCTGCACGCGGCTGCCCTGGCCGGGCGCCCTCCTGGGCGGGGATGGACAGACCCCCCTTTAGTAAAACGTGGTTTCGTGAAAACGACCCGAGGCCCCGACCTGGCGGGCGCCAGCCTGGAAAACAACGGCCACGGCGCCCTCCCGAGAACCGAAGACGGACCATTCGCTGATCGACGTGTCACCCCAGACCCCCGACGTAATGATTTTTTCATTGAGTCGACCCCCAGAGGTCCCGACCCGTTCCCCATGACCGGCTTTGCATCCTGAGTCGTTTTTTGACGCTCCCGAGGCCCGGTGAGGGCCCCCGGAGGCCGAAAAGTAGGAAAACCTCCCGTCATGATTTTTTCATTACTCGAGGAGGTCTGGGACTGTGGGGGGTTCTGTCCACCCCCGATCCTGGGCTGCAGGCCGCCGGACCGCTGCGCCGCGCCCTGCCGCGGCCGGGGCGCCGGCTCCTCCGCAGCCGCCCGCCGCGGCCCTCCGCCGCGCGCGGGCGACGCGGGCCGCGGCCGCTCCGCCGCCTCCTCCTCGGGCCTCCGCTGGCCGCGGAGGGCGGCGCGGGGCTCCCCCGACGTCGGGGGCATCGCCGCGGGGGCTGCGGCCCAGAGGGCGGGGGGGGGGCCCGCGGGCAGGGGGGGGGCGGGGGGGAGCCCTGCGGCGGGCTTGCGCCAAAATGGTTACGGAGGGGCGTCCTGGGCCGTGTTGGGGCCCTCGTGGGCCGCGTTTGGACTCTCGCGAGGGCGTCTTAAGGACTGTCTTGGGGCGATCTCGGAACCCTCTTGGGCTGTCATCGAATGCTGAAAGCTCGAATCGACGAGAGCGCCCAAATCCTTCAAGCCAGGGGAAATCCTTGGTTTGGGCCTCTTGGGGAAGGCGGGGGGTGAACTTGGAGCTCTCCTGGGGCATCTTGGAAGCTCCTGCGGCCGTCTTGAAGCCATCGTGAGCCATCTTGGGGCGCTTTTGGGCAATCTCTGGCCCTCTTGTGCTGCCTGGGGGCCCTCTTGGAGCTCTCTTGGCTGGTCTCGGGGCCCTCTTGGGCCGTCCTGGAGCCGAGGCCGCCGGACCCCTCTGCATGCAGGGTCTCCGCGAGGGACCGCTGGCAGAGTGTGACCCCCTCGGAGGGATTTTCAGGAAGGTCTTCACCAGGCCCAGGTCCTCCTCCTCCTCCTCCTCCTCCTCCTCCTCCTCGGCCTCCTCCGCCGCCTCCGCCGCCTCCTCCTCCTCCTCCTCCTCCTCCTCCGCCTCCTCCGCCGCCTCCTCCCCCTCCTCCTTCTCCTCCTCCTTCTCCTCCTCCTCCTCCTCCTCCTCCTCCTCCTCCTCCTCCTCCTCCTAGGAGCAATTTGCGCCCAAGCCACAGCATGCTCCGGTGGCGCTTTAACGCTTCACGACCTTTCTGATACTGCATCATGCCATTTGCCCCCCGTGGGCTCGCTTGCTGCCATGGCTTTGACTCTTGTGCAGTACAACTGTCTCAGCATGCGTCAGCATGGCCGCCTCCAGGATGTATGCGACGTGATGGCTGGCGCCCACATCATCGGCTTGTGCGGGACTCATGACAGGTTCGCTGGTCTCTCCACCGAGTTCGTCGAGGTCACTGGATCCTCTTCTTCCTCCTCGTATGTTGGACTCAAGTTTCCCACTACTCGGGGCAGTTGCACGAACTTATCGGCTGGATGTACGCTGTTGTTCCGGCGCGACTATTTCCCAAAGGATTCTTGGGCTCAGGTGTTGACTCCCCCCAAGCACTTGCAAGGTCGCTGCGGCGGGGTCCATATTCGCAGGCGCAATTTCGACCTTCTCGTACTTGTCGCTATCGCCCCTGTCAACCCTAAGTCCGACCATGGCCGCTACGTCTCGGAGCAGGTGTTCAAATGGTTGGGGAAGCAGCGCACCGTGTGCTCGGCTTCCCGCACTTCGGAGATCTGGCTATTGGACGCCAACGGGCACTTGGGATGGGAGTACGGCCGGGATCTGAACAACGTTCGTGTGCGATGTCCGCTCGTTCATCCTGCGTTTGGCGGCTTCAATCCCGCGGAATGCAATTTCAACGGCCACCAGCTCCTCTCGGCGCTTGGCTCGGAGATGCGTCTGGTGAACACGTTCCGGGAGTGCGGGCCGACGTATTTCGGGCCCGACGGCAGCACCAGCATCGTCGATTTCATCGCTGTGAGCTCCGACGTCTTTCCCAAGTTGGTGAGTACAGATGTGTGGCATGATGCGGGCGATGTCTTACAATTGATTCCTGATGTTGTTGCTCGCGATCACCGTCCTGTCCGCTGCGAAATCGACCTGCGCTTGGCGTTCACAGGCATCCCGAGGTCTTTGCACCATCTTCGACGGTTCTGGCACAAAGAGGCGCTTGTGGGGGGGTGTAAAATAGGTACGCACAAAACGTCTTTCGTCCAGGCGGTGGAAAACACGATTCAGGAGCAGTGGCCCTCGCTCGTTTTGGCTGCGCGGGAGAGTGGCCCTGACGAAGTTGACCAGAAGCTGACCGACATAATCCTGAGCTCGGCTGCTCCACACTACACAGCAGCGATTTGGAAGAAGCCTTATCTCACAGAACCTGAGAAAGCAGCGATCGTTCAGCGCAGGTCTGCCCGTACTGCTGCTCACCGTCCTGTCCTCGCTATCCCCGTTCCTGCAGGTTGTCAGGATGTTATTCAGTGTCTTCGGCTCGTTCAACCTTGGGTCATCACGGCGTCTATCCTGTGCGTGTGTCGCGCCACGTCCAGCCTTGCCGCTATTGTTCGCCTGGGTGCGCTGCGTCGTATTTCCGCGGCGACCCGCAAGACGCTCAAGGAGGGCGCACGTCGCCGACGTCGGGTACTGGAGGAAGATTGCCAGGCTGCTTGGGAGCGGAGGGACTTTGCCACTGCTTGGACGTTATCCTTTCGTTTAGCTGGCCAGGGGGAGGGGCCGCGTCGACGTCGTTTTCGCCAGGTTCCACATTTTCGTGCAACAAGCCAGGAGAAAGGGTATCGCCTCCGGCTTCCGGCGCAGGAGGGTGGTCTGAATGCCAACGATGTCGACTACGATGCTGTGCTGTCTGCTCGACGGTCTTCACGGCCCTGGATCTTCAGCGATTGGATCCCTCTTGCACGTCGGGATCTCCGCGATGTTCGAAAGAAGGTTTCTCGTGCGGCCTATCGCCGCAGCGTGCCGCCATGGGGGATCCCCAATGAACTTCTGCGGATGCTTTTCTCCCCACAGGTATCTACGTCTCGTGGCTCTGGTTTGGGATATCGTGCCGAGACTTCTGAATCAACTTGGATCGAAATGGCGTTTTTACTCTTACTCGCCCTGGTCCGGTTTCGTCGACAAGCTCCACTTCGCTGGCATTCGTCTTGGTTAATCGAGATACCAAAAAAAGATGGGGCCACTGGCTGGGACGCGGTACGGGATCTTCATCTTTTTTGCGCTCTGCCTGGTGCTTACATGGCGATGTTGTGGGCCCGTGGCTCTCATTTTTTGGATAGAGACTATGCTACTGGCTATTCCCGCTGCCGTCGAAGGGAGGAGTCCATTGCCGTATCCACGTGTCTTGCCTTTCGCTTGCAATCCATGGGCCGTGGCACGTCCGAGCTGTTCTTTGACATGCGCAACGCTTTCTGTTGCCCTCACACGTCCGAGCTTGAATCGTACATTCAGGGAGCCTTCGTTTCTTGCCCGTTCGAGCGCGAGATTTTCCTCAACGAGCTGGAGTGCGCTTTGGTCCGCGCTGACACCGCCGACGGAACGCAGACGTGGTACTTGATTGGCTCTGGTGTTCGGATGGGGCACCGCGCTGGGCCGAAGTGGTTCCTCGGCGTCTTCCATCCCAAGATCGACCTGTACGTGAACAGCCTCGCCGAGCTCCGCATTATTTCGTCGCTGGAGCTTTGTGGCGTTGCGCGCCAGGCGGAGGTCGGGACCTCGACTTTTGCCGACGATACCAAGACTACGCTGGTGGCCGACTCGTTCCCTACAGCTCTGTTTCGGTGCCGTCTTGCTTCCGAGCGACTGGACCAGGCTCTCTTGAACTCTACCGGCGTCCCCTCGATCGTGCAGCACAGGGGCAAGTGCGAGGTCGTCGTCAACTTTGTTGGCACCGGTTCTCAGGGCGCTCTTCGTCGAGTTTATTCTGGTCCTTGTGGTTTTCCTGGACGGGTCGTTTCTGCTGCTAGGCATTTGGGTGGTTGGCGAAACATGCGGTGCAGCTTCAGTACCCTACGTGCGAAGAACATCGAGGCTGCCCGGCGCAACTTTGGCCGGTTTAAGCGATTCTGGGCGCATTCTACCCGTGAGTTTACTGTCCTTGCCTTCCGGGCCATGGTGATCGGTGCTACTACTTCTGGTGCTGCCGCTTATGTCCCTTCTCGCACTGACCTTCGCATGATCGATGACGCTTGGAGCGACATGGGCCGTCGTGTCTTGATGGCGCGTCTCCAGCAGTGTTCCCAAGGCCATCCCGTTGCGCCTTCCACCAAGGACGTTCGCTGGGCCCTCAAGTTCTCCGAGGCCGAGGTCGAGCTTAGGATTGAGCGCATACGGTGGTACCAGGTCATGTGTTCCACCCCTGGCAGGTTTGTGCAATGGATCTTGACAGTATTCGGGGAGATTGACGGCCGGCGCGTGCTTGACCCCCAGGGCACTCTGCTTCCGGACGCGAACCCATGGGCCAGACAGGTTTCGGAGGACTTTGATGCATTATCTTGTCATCCAGATTATGAGGATGTCGCTGCACTTTGTTGTCGTTATCCTGCCCACGTGTTTTTCGACGAGGATGTTGCCGCACGGGTTCAAGGCATTGATCCTCGCGTTCTTCGTGCACGCACTCGCACCGTGGCCATTCCGCCGCCAGGGTACCTGGCACCTGCCCCTCGTCAGGATCGTGCCGCTGATCGCGTGGAGGCACCGTCTTTCGTTTGCAACCTGCCCGGTCTCGAGACGGAGCGCTGCGGCCGCAGTTTTCTGTCGCTCGGGGCACTCCGTGCGCATCAAAATCAAAGTCGTCTTCCGGGTCATGGCGATATTGGTCTGGGCGCAAGGGCCACTGTTACAAACCAGTGTTGCGTGTGCATGTCAATTTTTTCTACCCGGCCGAACGCCCGCGAGCATCTGGAGGCATCTATTCGCCGAGGGTTCTGCTCTGGGTCTGGGAGTGTCTTTCGCCACGATGTGGAAATTCCGGGCTACCTTGGGTGCCCCATCTGTGACGCAGAGGTTTTCACGACGCTACCATTACTTCAACGCCATATCCGTGTAGTCCATCTTGGCTCAGTGAGAGCTTCTCGCACGACTGTATCTTCCACGCTTATCCCGGCTCTTGAAGCCCTGTGTGCCCGAATCGCCGCTCGCGAGCGGCTGCGCTCTGCTCCTGCCCCAGCACGCGCACGTCCCGATGAGCGAGGCCTACAAGAACTTCCTGCCGAAGCCGAAGGAGAAGGAGGGGAGCGCCGCGAAGTCTGCGAGGACCGAGACCGAGGAGCCCGACGCGGCCTCGAAGAGGGACGAGCTGATTCTCTTGGCGTCCGTGGCGGCGGAGTCGCGGAACCACGCAGCGGCGCTCTACCGGACGTGCCTGGTGCCGGGGGAGGTGGGCGAGGCGTTCTACGACGGGATGCGCGGGGCGGTGGGCGAGTACGAGAAGAAGGCCCGGGGCCAACGGGGCCACGGGCACGGAGTGCCTTGCCACCACGCGCTGATTGCCGCAGCGCTCATCGGGCAGACGCACTTTTCCGCGGAGGAGATGGGGGCGAAACCGCCCGAGTACCAGAAGATCGAAGAATTCCTGACGAAGTACGACGTGCCCAAGAAGCTGGGGAGGGAGGTGCTGGAGTTCAGGGCCTACGAGACGCGCGACAAGGGCCACCGTTTCCGGTTCCGCCTCGTGGAGGGGGGGGATCCCTTGGTCAAGGCAGTGGTGGAGATCATCGTTCGCGTGTGGATGCAGGCCGGGGGCGAGGAGGTGTTGGGGTCAGCGCCAGCGTCGAGGCGGGAGCGGAAGCTGCAGGCCCGCATTAAGCGGATGAAGGAGTGACCCGGCGGCGCATTGCTTTCCCCCTTGCCTCCTCCTCCTCCTCCTCCTCCTCCTCCTCTCCTTCCTCTGGGCTGGAAAAAACACAGGATCTTGTCGTAACGGCGGCCGCCTGCTGACGAATGCCCCGCCAGAATTTAGTTCCCGTGCTCGGCGGGCATTTGAAATGCGGCCGAAGTGTCGCAACGCACACTTGGTGATCGCATGCTGGCGCAATTCTATGCTCGCCAGTTGTACGCCCTTGTCGACGAATGCAGCGAGCGTGCTCACGGTGCGGCGCTGTCCTGCCCCTGCTTCACTCCGCCCCCTTCTTCCTTTGACGCGCGATGTCTTGTGAGGGCGGCCAGCTGGGGCAGATTCAGCACTGCCGCGACCCAGGCCCAGCGGAGACGCCACGTCGGTGCGTCCCGCTGCTGGTGTGGGGCTTTGACCTGTCTACATAACGGGTCGCGTCGCTCACGTTGGCAAGCTTTGATTGGCGATACTTTATCGCGGCACTGCATATTCCTCTACATATCGATCCTTGCTGACTTCGATATCGATCGGCTTGCTGACTTCGAGTGTGTCGGACCGGACCTCCTCCTCCTCCTCCTCCTCCTCCTCCTCCTCCTCCCTCCTCCTCCCTACTCCTCCTCCCCCTCCCCCTCCTCCCCCTCCCCTCCTCCTCCTCCTCCTCCTCCTCCTCCTCCTCTCGTCCTCCGCCGTCTCTCTTCGAGGGGATAGGGAGGGGGGGGGGGAAGACCGCCCTTTTGCAATCGCCCTCTCCAGGGAACTCCACCCCCACCCGCTCGCCCCGCCGAGTGGAGCGCACTCGCGGCGCTGCCTGGACGGGCTGTGCAACGGGCGCGGCGCGCCGAGGGCCGCGCGCGGGAGCTTCTCGGGCGACGATGGTTTCCAGCCTGCTGCAGCCTCGACCACCAGAAAGGATCGGGGGTGGACAGAACCGTCCGCTCTCGGTTTTCGAGAGGGCGCCGTGGCCGTTATTTTCCAGGCCTGCGCCCTCCAGGTTTGGGCCTCAGGTCGTTTTCACTAAACCAAAGGAGTTCGAGCACCAGGGAAGTGCCGAGTCTTGAGGGTTTTCATGTGTCGGGCCCTGGGAGGCGATGCTCGCTCGACACCGTTTCGATGCCTCGTTGGGTGCTCGAAGTTGTTTCTGGGATGTGGTCCCGGAGTCGGATAGGAGCAGCATCGCTCTCGGGCAGGGAGAGCGCTGCGCTCCAGGCCTCACGGGCTCCTGGGGCGCGAGTGTTCACCCGTTCGACAGCGACGACGCCCCTTATCAGACTTCATGGCTGGGCTTCCAAAGAGGCATCCGTGCCCTCACTTGCCGCGGGCCCCTGGCGGAGCCCGTCGCCCTCCGCCGGGTTGCAGACGGTCTCCTATGATGGGGCCGGCCCAGTTTAATAAGGCTGGAGGTATCTTGGTCACCTCGGTGGCCTTCGTTGTCTGCCTCCGCCGTCGTGAAAGCTGGGAGCACGGACTCATTGTTCCCAACCATCCTGTGGTGTTGGGTCCTCGTTCTCGTTTTGAAGAGACAGCGCCCCGCGTTCACTCCTTCCTCCCTTCCTCCCGCTGCCCCCTCCTTCGTCACCGCACCCATTTCGACACACCCCTCACACGTTTCGTGGCCCCATAGGGAGCTCCACCGAAGGCCCCAGTGGCTGCGGGCGCATGGCGGCGCCGCACCCATTTCGGCACACCCCTCACACGTCTCGTGGCCCCATAGGGAGCTCCACCGAAGGCCCCAGTGGCTGCGGGCGCATGGCGGCGCCGCACCCATTTCGGCACACCCCTCACACGTTTCGTGGCCCCATAGGGAGCTCCACCGAAGGCCCCAGTGGCTGCGGGCGCATGGCGGCGCCGCACCCATTTCGGCACACCCCTCACACGTTTCGTGGCCCCATAGGGAGCTCCACCGAAGGCCCCAGTGGCTGCGGGCGCATGGCGGCGCCGCACCCATTTCGGCACACCCCTCACACGCTTCGTGGCCCCATAGGGAGCTCCACCGAAGGCCCCAGTGGTGCGGGCATGGCGGCGCCGCACCCATTTCGGCACACCCCTCACACGTTTCGTGGCCCCATAGGGAGCTCCACCGAAGGCCCCAGTGGCTGCGGGCGCATGGCGGCGCCGCACCCATTTCGGCACACCCCTCACACGTTTCGTGGCTCCATATGGAGCTCCACCGAAGGCCCCAATGCTACCGCCCTCATGCGTCCCGTACGCCCAGGACAGCGTTTCGTGGCACTCCTTTCGTGGCCCCATAAGGAGCCCCACCGAAAGCGTCACCCACAAAGCGTTATTCAACATTGCATATGGTTGGGTCTTTCGCCAGGATATTTTTTTCGAGTAAGCCCGTGGCCTCGTGAGCACGGACTCCTTTTTGTATGGGATCGTGCCCTCGGGAGCGCGAATCCAGTGTTGTCCGTTTGGGAACAAGGCCTCGAGGTCGCGGAGCAATTGCGGTTTAAAACGACGGAAGGGGGGCGGCAGTGCATGCGGATGAGAGCAGCCTGACCTTGGCAGTCTACCATGCCTGAACGTGCTATGGGGGCACGGTGGCCGACCAGCAGGAGGAGGAGGAGGAGGAGGAGGAGGAGGAGGAGGGAAGAAAGGGAGGAGGAGGCGGAGTAGGAGGAGGGGAGGAGGAGAGGAGGAGGGGAGGAGGAGGGGGAGGAGGGACGAGGGGGAAGAGGAGACGGAGAAGAGAGGAGGAGGAGGAGGTGGAGGGAGGAGGAGAGGGTCAGGGAGGGGAGAGTGGAGGAGGAGGAGGAGCGAGAAGAGGAGAGGAGCAGACGAGGAGGAGGAGGAGGAGGAGGAGGAGGAGGAGGAGGAGGAGGAGGAGAGGAGGGAGATGAGGGGGAGGAGGGGGAGGAGGGGGAGGAGGAGGAGGAGGAGGAGGAGGAGGAGGAGGAGGAGGAGGCGGAGGGTGAGGGGGGGGGAGGGGGAGGAGGAGGAGTAGGAGGAGGAGGAGGAGGAGAAGAGGAGAGAGAAGGAGGAGGAGGAGGATGAGGGCGGAGGCGGAAGAGAGGAGGGAGGAGGAGGGATGTGGAGGAGGAGGAGGAGGAAATGGAGAAGGAGGATGAAGTGGAACAAGAGGAGGCATACTACTAGTAATAAAAATAATAATACTAAGAAGACGACTAAGCAAAATAATAATAACGAGAAACAGAAGAGGAAGCGGAGGAGGATGGGCTGGACGAAGAGGCGGACAAGACCGATGGGGGAGGATTGGGAGGGGGGAGGGGGATGGGGAGGTAGAGGAGGAGGAGAAGGAGGAGGAGGAAGACGAGGAGGAGGAGGAGGAGGAGGAGGAGGAGGAGGA